ACAAGCCCCAGCCCCTCGCCGCCTCCGCTGCGCGCCAGCCGGCGCCTCGCCCCGAGTTCGACTGCGACCCCGATCTCTACGACCTTCACATCTACAGCGACATCGGCGAGCGCGACGCGGGTAAGGCGCGTGGCGCAGCCGGGGGCGCAGGGGAAATGCTGTACGATGAGGTGGACGCACCGGTGAGGGGAAGCCCCGACGGCACCCAGCTGCCGCCGTCGTCGTCGCAGCCGCACAACATCTATGACTGCGTGTACGATGTCATGGGAGTCGGCCGCAGCTCGCCAGACGGCGCCAGCGGGGAGCGCACGGAGAGGGTGCTGCCGCCGGTGCCCCGGAGCGGCGTGAGACCCAAGTGGGAGATGCCGCCGCGTTTGCCCGTGCAAGGTGAGAGTGGAAAGCGTGATGATGAAGAGGCTGCAGCCGCAGCTGTATCATCGAGTGAGGTGGTTAAGGAAGTGCAGTCCTGTGATGACAGCTCATCTTCTGCAGTGACCACAAGCGTAAACAGCAGTGATGCAACCGAGGGCAGCGGCGTGCAGGCAACGCCGATTTCTACTAGTCAGCGCCCTCTGGATGCAGATGAACTATCTGTAAAGGATTCTCCTGTGAGGAAAGTGCAGGAGATGCTAGAAAAAGTTCTAAACCGACAGACACCAGCCCAGACAAATTTAGTGTCGTCTTGCCCAGATGAAAGGAGCAGTTCTCCCTTGGAAGATACTACTTCATCCCCTGTCAGAGGTCTATCACCTTCGAAGGGATCAAATAACATCCCAAGTCCTAGAACGAGGCACAGTCCCTCTCCTGCCAGGAAACAGGAACACAGTCCTTCTCCTGCCAGGAAACAGGAACACAGTCCTTCTCCTGCCAGGAAACAGGCAGTCACTAATCAAAATGACAGTTTGATGTCGGATCTTACTCAGCTACTACAACATAGAGTTTTACCGGAGAAACCAACCATTTCTGTGAGAGAACCAGTGCATGCAACTTCCCCCGATAAACAGCCACGGCAAAGAGCCTCGTCTGGCTGTGAAAGTGATGGCAATGCTGTCCCTGCTGAAGCGCAAGCCGGCCGTAATGCCCTGACTACAGGAAGTAATAACCCAGTCCCAAATGAGGTCAACCCTAACCCTCTGAGTGTACAGAAGACCCCACCTCCTCCTCGCCCACCACCACCTCCTGGCAGCTTAAAATCAACCACACAGCAGAGAAACGCCGTTAAAAAGAACACGAAGGTTGGAAAGACACCTATACCTACGTCTGCAGAGGACAAGTCGATTCCAGCAGGTGTCCACGATCAACGCAAGCCGTTGCCGGCCCTTCCTGCCGTGCCGAAAGCTGCTAAACCCGTGCGCAGTGGGAGTAATGCTGGTACCAATCCCGAACCCGATACCTCAGATGTCGCACCGCCACTATTACCGAGAGGCTTCTCTCCTCGGATCAACAAGGACATTTCTAATGGCGTGCACCGTCGAGCCGCGGAAGTTGCAGAGAGAGTGGATGGCTTGCAGGAGAAAGGGGATGCAGTTGCTTCTTCGTCCTCGTCATCGGCGGCGGCGGTGGCCGCGCCTCCCAAGAAGCCACAGCAGCTGCGTCGCCGGCTGAGTAGTGCCGAACAGAGGCAGAACCTACCGCCGCCCCCGCCCCCACCGCCTCCCGCCTCCACCGCGGTGAGGAGCGACAGTCCTCCAGCACTGCCTCCCTCCTCCGCCGCAGTGAGGAGGGATAGTCTACCACCGCCTCCTCCACCGCCTCCCGCTGCCGAGCGCATGCGAAACCTGAAAGATGCGCCGCCCAAGTCACAGAAAGATGCGCCATCAGCGACTGTTTCCGCGTCGTCGAAGCCACCGCCGCCGGTTCCCTTGAAGCCACTGATGGCTGCTGTTGGAGGGTTTGATGGGAAGGTTGGTTCGCCTGTGGAACACCCTCCTCTTGTTCCCAGGGACAAGAAACCACCAACAAAAAACGGAGTGAGTGTACCGCAGCCACGGCAGCAGCAGCAGCAGCAGCAGCAGCAACAACAGCAGCGTGGTGGGTCGGTATCTGATGGCTTGGCTGCTGCCTCGCCTCTGTCCGTGGGAGGTGATCAGTCTGAGACGAAAGTAAAAGACAAGTTGCAGCCTCTTGCCAAACCAATGCTGGAGTCGCAGCCGTCTGCTAAGCCTCAGCACACAAATGGCAAGACGGCACTCTCTGGCAAGCCCGGCAAGGCAACGCCCCCTGTAAAGCCCAGCAATGCAACGCCCCCTGGCAGGCCTAGCAAGGCAGTGCTTCCTCTCAAGCCTGAGACAGTAGCACGCCCTATTAAGCCTTCCCTAGCGAGTAAGTCATCCCTCCCTGCCACGCCGCCCCCTGAAGGGAAGCCACCGACTGCCCCACCCTCCGCAGAAGACAAGATGTCACGACCACCAGTTCCAGCGAAGCCGGCGGCAATGCTGCAGGACACGGCCACTGGGAAGGCGGGTCAGGAGGTAGCTGCTACTGCCAGCGTGAAGTCTCTGCAGGACAGATTCGAGCGAGCCGCGTCGCCACCGTGAGGGAAAACCTTAGAGTAGTGATGTCCTAGTTGTCGCTTCCGTGAAATGAACGTGTCTGCGATGGACAGGTATACAGTCTGTTCATAAGTTTTTACCTCTCCAGCAATATATATACGCCTAGTGAGAGCCCGAAACGGGCATTACACAGAATAATAATGTAGTACAAATATCTCCAGCAAGTGTAGCTCTTAATAAGCTAAGATATAATGTTTTTAAGATTTAGGATTTTATTTAAGCCAAGCTGTTAGAGAATATACACGAGTTTTTGTCTAATTGTCTGAATGCTCGTTGACTTGGTCTAAGTGGCGTACCTTTGAAAGAATCAAGGAGTCATGCGCAGCCAGAACTCAAAAGTATCTAATATTGTCTGTAAGAAAGTTTAATATTGCTCTACTCACTCAATGCCCACAGACCTCTTTGTTGAACGTGTACTTGAACTGAAACTGTGCCTTATTCAGAGAGGGTGTGATGAATTCACGTGTTCATATAGGCGGTGTCTTCATTTCCCTGCAATTGATTCTAGAGAGAATGATTGTGAATGATAAAACGTTGAAGTGGGAAAATCTACAGGACATGTAATTGTAGATCACCGGCGAGACACTGGTCATATCATTCGTTAATGCTTATCTCATATATGATATACTTCATATATATATATATAGATATATAGCATTTTATACAGCATTATATTAAGTACAGGGTCTGTAAAGTGTGCGTACAGTACATAACGTTGTTGGTGCTGTCAGTTGGTAATATCAGGGGTGAAAATGACAAATATAATTATTCATGCCATTCATGTTTTGTTATTATATCATTATTTGTCATTACCAACCCCTGGTATTATGTTTACATCTGAGTAATTTGCCTACATGTATGTAGTAGTTATATGTGTGCGTTACATACATGCTATTGCCTGTTGATCATGCCACTGAGATTTTTCCTTGTTGTAGGAAAACGGATTTTTATGCAGGTGCCACTTGTAAGGTGCCATTGATTTTTAGACCTCACGGACAGTGTAAGGCAGTGTAGGGATTTATACACGAACCATCTGCATGAACCTCCTCATGACAACTAAATATCACGGTCGCTGTTACACGCACCCACGTTCTGTTTCTTGCCATGCAAAACCATAATATTGTGTGAGTACACACGTAAACTTAACTATTATATTGAGTTATATACTAAAATTATAGTCACTTGATGTAACGTAGTATGGGCTGTTAACATAGATTAAATTTGTCATCAATATTAATTTGAGAAGCAATTGCACTAGAAAGTATTCCTTCATTTGTCTTCCTAATTAATATATTAAAGAGGCAATATTATTATATATGTATTTACGTGTACATATCTGTATATATATATCTCTGTTTATAGTATATATATGTGTATATATACATATATATGTATACATCAGTTATTATATCATAGTAATAGGACGCTGTTCTTATAATATTACGCGGTTCTTGAATTAACATTGAATAACATTAAGTAACATTGAATATCAAAAGCTGCTACGTGTACTTTTCATATCATTCAAGTGAAATGATATTGATTTGCGCTTATTTCTTCCATCTTCGTACACGTGCTGTATTTATCTGTGATATGTTTTGCACATCGAACTATTTTGGTGGAAACTTTACCTTATAGTGCCATATATACGCTTTTATATTGCAGCGTCAGAGGTAATCGGTAATACATTAACATTACTGTTAAATAATGCACTGGTTACATGCCCTTACATTGCAAACGTTGTTGCTGTATGGAAATATTTTGGTAATCTCGCATGTTGTTGACGGATTTTACTTGGAATTCACGATGAGAAATGAATTGTTCTCATAGGAGATATATGTAATGTATTCGCGTCGTGACAAAGGTATGACCTCTGAGGCTCTGACCTTTAGAGTTGATTATTGTTGGCTTGATCATAAACCGAGTTGCCTATTTCATCTTAAAACATACAGTATCCTGTGATATATAGAAGTTATAATTGACAGAAATTACGTCATTACTAGGGTTATATTGTAATTGGCATCTCAATAACAATATATTTCTTATTCTACAGTTATAGTAGGCCTAATACTTCTATACTGAACAAAAACAAATTTAAATATTTTGTATAAATGGATTGAGCTGGTTTGTATTTATGTAACGGGTGAAATAAATGGTGCTATAGGACCAGTGATGGCAGAAAACGGCTTTTAGTAGTAATTCTTTAGGAGTTCTCAGTACATTATATATATATATATCATGCCTACAATGGACGTGATAAGAATAGGAGCACATGTGTGAGCAAGTTTCAAGTAGTCAGAATATCAATCAGTATCAATAAATTCAATTATTATAGGGTGATACAGCCCTCTAAGCTCTAATCATGTCTGTACATTACATTGTACATAAATTGTACATCATGACATTGTGCTTATGACTTAACTGATAATCGAATCATTACAACACAAGCCATCGGTTGTTACATTTCATATTTTATTACTAAACAAGATTGTTCACACAAATGATCGCGGTTCATCAGAAGAAAGTGTGCGTCATGCACGTGTACATCGTAGTTAGTATCCATATGAATCATGTATCGTTATTCTAATGATCAGACATGTAACACAGAGAACGAAAACGTCCTGTCTAGAGCCTGTCACGCCTAGCACATCCTTCTGTGCAACCTACAAATATATATCAACTCTTTAAGAATTCATTACACACCATTTCATACACAACTGTCGTAACAGCACGAGGATACATTCGTGATTTCATTGAGTAAATTCTACAATCACTCCCTGCCGAAAAAGACTGTTGTCAACATGGTGCCAGTCTGTCAATATGCCATGATTGCTACTTAATTGGTACTTGATACTACCATTTGCAAAGCAAGAGGTCGACCAAGAGATACAACTGTCGGGAACTGCCTGAAACAAACACCGGGGGAATGAAGCACGCAGGCTCCATTTTCTTGACCAGCTGGTCAGCCCGATTAACGATATGCAAAACAAGCACTCTTGGTTAGTCACCGGGCAACCTTACTCTCCTCACGCCATAGTCAATGAAACCCTACTTGACGGGAATCTAGATGGGGACTTGCAAACTATGACTAGCGCGACAGAGACCCCGACGTCCAATGTGCACCAACTGCCATTCTCCTAAGACATGATATACGAATGAAGCTCGATGATGTACGACGTGCGCAGGATAATGACTCAACATAACAAACCTAGATTAATAATAGCTACCGCAGCGCACCCACGCGTCTACAGAGATGAATCACAGTAGGATAAATTACTGTACGAGCGTAGAGGCAAGGGTCATCCTTGATGGAATCGTTCGTGAAATAGAAACCGAGTGACTTCTGCACGTACGCTGATTATGTGAAGGTGAAACCAGCTGCTCTGTAATGGTAGTAGATCTTCTCTAAGGCATTAATGTAGGCGGCTGTGCGCAGGTCCAGACCCAGGTTGTATTTCATAGCTGTGCGCATGATCGCCTGCAAGCAGACAGATTACATCATAAGTCATCAATAGCGGTAATATCCGATGTAAAATATTTTAATTTCGTGAAGAATTCTAAATATTTGCTAGTTTCAGGGACAGTTTCGAAAGTTGATCTGCTCCCGTTGTTAATGTTATTATAACCATCCACTGCACCTACTGCCACTTGGTGACAAGATCAGAGCTCTGCTTATCAGTAAAGCTTGACAAAGACAGCAGTAAAGCAGTAAGCAGTAAGGCTCCAGTAAATATTTTACCTCCAAATTAATCCTATGAGACAATAAAATTCTATGACATTCTAATATAAATGTCTGATGTCCCAATCGATCAATCAATCAATTAATCAATCAATGTTGGCATATCAAATGCTATTGCAACAAGGAGTGGAAGCACTGCTGTGAAATTTGAAACAGTCCCTGCTAAATAATTTGTACGGTATTTCTATAAGGATTCGTGATCAGACTAAATCATCAATTATGCAGCAACCAATATTGACATAGGTAAGAGCACACCGTACCATCTGTCACTGCAAGCTTTGTAATGATGCACTGCAAGATGCAGCGGCAAATGCTAGTTTAAAATAGAAAAAATACAAAATATAAATAGAATGCAAGGTGACACCGATACTTACCCTAGCCGATCCTTCCATTGTGAAAGCCAATCCAGAGTGAACGATGTCTTTTTCAGATGCACCCTGCACGAAACAAAAGCAATCGGGTTCATACCAGCTGAAGATAATGTAATGTCATGGGCCCATGTCAGAAATATCACAAACAGTTTTATGACTGTCATGTGACTAAGACATCATAACTTTTGCTGACCCCTTGTACAAAAGTTCTGACCTCCTAGACCTGCAATATCATGACTAATTTTGACGTTTCTGACAATCGGTTCATAGTTATTTAACAGTTTAATGTCACAATTACACATTGTAGTTGCACATTAAATAACGGCACAATTTAAGCAGCAATATTACAGAATCACTTCCCGCATCAAATCACGGGTTCATGATCTGACAATTTCCACTAAACCTATCTCCATTCGACTGCATTAGTGTTAACACATGCAGCCCCATCTACGTTTACGTAAACCCCGCACACGGCCACTTACAGCAATCTTCTCCTGGAAGGACTCTGACGGGATGATCGGGATTCCTCCCCCGCTTTTGCCGAACCTGCGCTCCAACGAGTGCTGCACGCTCTCTGCAACATCGAAACACCCGACATGTTACCACAGCGGCCGAAATCTCCTCTATAACAGAGGAAGCAGGGGTTAGTTAAAAAATTTTCAGCATTTCAAGTTTTATTAGGGCAAGGCAAACATTCCTCTTCATTGAATCATTTCAATCATCATTGAATTTTCCTTCACGGAAATTTTTAGGGCACCACAACAAGTTGTCTGCACACCAAGGCAAATATTGCTTTTAAAGTAGGATCATCAAGGGAACTTACTGTTCAGTAATACTATTGCAATATTGCTAGAGTGCTACTGATATTTCATTAGTTGGCCAACCGTAACACGTGTATTTGGTGTCATTTGCATCACAATTTATCTAACATGTAATAGCCTACAGACTATGCTATAGCTATGTACAGACCTAGCAGGTGATAGTTGGATTCCTTCTCATATTTGAAGGTGAGACGTCCATAGCTGACGTGGTTTAGATTCTTAAGCCACTCGAAGTAGGAGACGGTGACACCACCGGCGTTGCAGTAGAGGTCCGGGATTACGAGAACGTTGTTGGCCAAGAAGTGCTTGTCTGCTGCTGGTGTTGTCGGTCCGTTTGCTCCCTCAGCAATAATCTTAGAAAAATAATCGTGACACGATTACACACGCACACGCACACGCACACGCACACACGCACACACGCACACACGCACACACACACACACACACACACACACACACACACGTCCATCCATCTGTATATAAAGTCTCGTTTACCCAGCCAAAACAGGACCTATAGGTGATTGGATAATTGAAAATATTGGATAATGCAGAAACAGACATAGGGTGAAACAAATCGCAGATTAAACGGAAGTGCTATACAAATATAAAATATGGTTTATCAATAATCAAGTTACACTGTAACTAAAATAACAGGTTGTAAAACTGACCAAAAATTAGCAAAATCCGTTGAACCTGAACTGACTAATGGCAATTCCCATTTTTGCCAAAAAATTACCGTGGCTCGAAAGTACGTCAACTGGCGTGCTCCAAAATAGGACGTTCAATATGGGAGCATAGCAGTAACAACTATACCCAATTTCAAACATGTGGGTCAAACGGTTCCTGAGTTATCGTTGACCGTAGCCAAATGTTGACGGACGGACGGACGTACGACGGACGACGACCCATAGCAATACCTCATCTTGACGATGTCAAGGTGAGCTAAAAACAACAAGTTCTTCCCCAATTCTACTTCGTCTCATTCACTAATCAAACATAATGCTAAACTCTGAGCACTAATTATCTCACCTTGGCCTTAACCCTATGGCAGTTGCCGCTGTGGATTTGTCTCTCGCTAGCTGCCGGCACGAGAATGTCACAAGTCTCGTATATTAGGCTCTCATCCTTCGTGTAAGCCTCGGCCCCTGGGAAACCCACGATCGTGCCGTTCATCTGAAATCGCAGGGACACGGCTTGTGATCATGACCACGGTTTAATGCGCAGCACACGTAAACAGATGAATCACGAACGATGATGCAGAGACGACAACAGAAGCATCGTCGCTTAAATTTCCCGCTTTTGAGGAGCGATTTCTTATTCCACAGGGCCACAATTAAATGAAAGTGTCAATGACACTGTAGCTCCCCACAAAAAAGGACACAAATGAGTGAGTGAGAAGAAGTCAGTTTTAATTGAGCAACCATCGACGTACATTATAGAAACGAAGAGTATATATGGGAGAACTCCCATTATATACTCTTGATAATTATGTGTAATTTTTTATGCGAAAATAAATGTTTGAGATGTGAAAGTCTGAGATGTGGGCGAGTAATGGCGTTACACCTAAATGATTGCCATTTAACGTTTTTATAATATTCAGATTTAGGCACTGCCTAAAAGCGGAGCTCCCGATGTGTAACGTGTAAGATTGAGAGGATACGCTTATTCCACGTAGCTGCTATATACCACGTGACAATGGTGTTTCCCTGCCCATAACACAACTTTTGTCAAAGGTTAATTGGTTGCATGGAAGTGTTTACTTCGTATTAGTTTTTCTAGGCGGTAGCACACGGTTGCGATCTGTATATCGCAATAATAATTTATAAACCAAAATAAATCACAATTTGTGGCGGTAGATGGCACTATACCCGCTTTGATGTTTCTTAGCGATGACGTTCGAAATAAATTGTTATGCTGCGTTCCGACATGTTTTGTAAAACTTTACTCTAATATAGACGTTTTATCGGCAGGGTGGAGAGGAAATACCAATTTTGCATTAAAGATATTGTCAATGAAATCTTGTAAAACGAACCAGACGAGTGTGACACCACAGACTGTTATCTGCATGTCTATATTATAATATGCTATATAATTGCCAAAACCTAATTTGCATAATTTTTTTAAATATCAAAACCCCTAGCCCTTTTCATTAATTAAGTTCATTCGGTTGGTAGAATAATATAAATAACAAAGTTAATTTTTACTCAACCGTGCAAGTTTGAAACGTACCGCTGACGTTTCGCCTCCTGTCAGGAAGCTTTCTCAAAGCTGACTGATGATTATCAGTTTTGACCACCAGATGGTGTGGTGGTCAATAGCTTAGTCCACACGTGACTAAGCCTGTATCCCCCCTCGTCCCGGTTGATGTTTGGGGTCTTGCGTATCCAGATGGCCTCCTTAATCCATCGCCTGATTTTGATAGGCTCGCGATCGATGATCTTCGAATTCTCCCAATCGATGGTGTGATTGTCCTTCGCTACATGGCGAGTGATCGCGGATTTGGTGATTTCGGTAGCCGACTGTTTTCGTTGGGCCCTTGTGAACGATTTGGTTGCTACGGTGTCTACGTCCTTTTTGTGTTCTTTTAGGCGGGTTTTAAATTTTCGACCAGTTTCTCCAATGTAACTTTTTCCACACATTGCACACGGTATCTTGTAAACACAGTCCGTAATGTTGTGCATATCTGTTCTGTTCTTAGGATGTACCAAAAGCCGTTTTAGAGTCTCAAACGGTCTCACTGTTGACGCCACAACTGCATTTTTTAGGTGACGCTGAACTACGTCCGTGACCCCTCTGACATAGGGTAGGACGATCATCGCCTTCGGTTTCTCCGTGGAAGTTTTCTTTTGAGATGTTGTTTTTTCCCGTGATGTGTGCATCTCCTTGGACACTTTTCCGAGTGTCCAATTAGGATAGCCGCATTTTCTTAGTGCGTTCTTGATGTGGCGCGCTTCAGCTTCCCGGTCCTCTCTCTCCGTTATGATTTTGTCCCTACGATCTCAGTCTTCACGAATGAAATTTCTAAACACTGGACCTTCGGTCCACCAAGCCAGTAAAATTTACTGGACCGGACTAAATTTTACTGGACCA